CAGATAATATGGAGGGAAAGGCAGTATTTATAAGGATTAATCTGTTATATGAAAAATTTTACTTTACGGACTTTTGGCATTCCTGCTTTATAAAGTAAAGGGCTAGTATGTATGTATGCATGTGTGTATGTATATATATATATATACTTTAAAGAATATATATATATATACACTTTAAACGCTAAATATTTCTCTTCTATCACTATATAAAATTATCTTTTCTATACTGTCGAGTAGAGAAGTTTATTTTTCTCTCAGGTCACCTGTTCTGCAAGTGTTTTGCTAGTGATAACTTCTGGTCACTTTTCAGTTATTAAGGTAAACTAGAATTTTGTTTATTTCAATTTGTAATTTCATCAACAAAGGAAGATTAAGACAAGATTTCATGATGCTATCTACAAAGACTTCTTGTTACTGATACAACAATCTGTCTTACAGTAATGTCTGCTAATAAATTCTAAGCCTGCTGCTAACCTTAGAATTGATGATTCAAACCTACCTGATGGTTCTACAAAAGACAGGCCTGGTGATCTGCTTACAATAAGGCTGACAAAGCCAAGGAAATCCTGTGGCACAGTTTTGCTCTGGTCTGTAACACATGGGTGGCCAAGAGTCAGAAACTGACTCTCGACAGAGAGCACTATTCTTTCAGAAGTGGCATTTCAAACACTGTTTCCTGCAGAATAGGGAAGAAGGAGGTAGAGTAGATGCTAGCTGGTTTCCACCACACCTCAGTTCAGGTTTTCAGGAGCCCCTCAGAGAAGGTGGCTGTGAGGCTTAAAGTCCTAACACCTAAGGACTGCATTTTTAACCACAAATGGATTATAAAAAAAATGCACAAAAAAACCCCAGAAGTGATGAACTAAAATATAAGGATGGGGGAGTTACTAGCCCTTGAAAGATAAGAAGTAGACTGCCTTTACCCATCTGACTAATCTGGCCTAGTGCCATTATCTATGGTCAGTCATTGGACCCTCAAAAACTGCTCAACCGTTACCAGGAAAACTCCAGTCTATAATGCACTTTCATTTACAATGAGCCCTTTGGGGTTTGTTATGTGCCGTTGATTCACCTGTGACTCAGAGCAATCCTATGCTCAATAGCTCTGAACCCTGTCTTATCCTGAATCAGTCTGTCTCTGACACACCCACTCTCCATTACCCCAATCACTGTGTCAAACCACCTCATCCAGGGTCATCCTCTTTCACTCTCCCCCCACTTTCCCAAGCGCAATGTCCCTCTCCAATGAAAAGCCTCTCCTAGCAACATGCCCAAAGTATGGGAGGTGAGGTTTAAACATCTGCATCCAAAAACACTCAGGTTGCACCTTCTCAGAGATATATCTATTTGTTCTTTTGGCAACACATGAGATAGATATTCAGTGCACTTCTCTAACACCACAGTTCAAAGGTATCAATTCTGTCGTCCTTATTCACTGTAAAGCTCTCAGCAGCAAAGCAAGTGATTTAAAAGATCATGACCTGAATAAGGCACGTCTCAACTCTTAAACTAACATCACTGCTCCTCAATAATTTGGAGAGGCCCCTGACTAAGGACTTTCCCAGTGCAATAGCTCTCCTGATCTCCTGACTGCTGGTACAATGTGTACTGGTGATGGAGCCAAGTAAGATCAAGTGGTTGACAGTTTCAATCTCTTCTCTATCATGATGTTGCTTATGGTTATAGCTGATCTCCTAGACAATATTTTCCAGTGCGGTCTTGGAATTATCCACAACAGAATAGCTGCTGTAAACAAAGATTCCACGTCCTAATCTAACCCAGTCATACAAAGCTCTATGAAAACGGCACCACTAATAGTTCATTTCCGAATTAACCTGATTCCCTGAGATGTATACTAAGATCTAAGAATTACTAGCCCAGAAGGTCTTGTGCTGTCACAGTAAATCAAAACATGTTTTCCAGTTCATGGTCTTCACACTTGTTGCTGTGTCCCATCAAGTCAGAACCAACTCATAGCTGACTGCAGTGAGTTTTCAGAGGCAGTATATTATAGTAGGAGACTGCTCGTGCGTCTCCTGTGGAGCAGCTGGTGGATTTGAACTTGTGCTTTTGGTTTGGCAATGCAGTTCCTTAGCATTAGGTCACTGGAGCTCCCAAATACAAATACCAGCATTTTGGCACTTTTCCGGCTGCAGATATTATAATGTCTAGGCTAATTTTTTCACCCACGGCATTATTCTTTTTTCTCTGATTAATGGTGGACAAACTGCGGCCTTGGTCTGCAGCCAATTTTCTACAATCTCAAGTTCAAAGTTAATAGTGGTTTTTATGTATTTATAGGGTCGAAAAAAAGAAATCAAGAGAGCTCTAGTTGCTTGCTGTTTCATTAGGTGCCTTCAAGTTGAATACAACTCATAGTGACCTTGTGAACAACAGATCTGACCCGTCCTATTCTGTGCCGTTCTCATCATCTCTGACACACTTGAGCCCATTGCTGCATTCACAATGGCAGTCTATCTCATGGTGAGTCTCAATGACACTCTACCGTTCCAGGCATGATGTCCCTTGCCAAGGAATAGTGTCTCCTAGCAATATGCCAGCAATATGCCCCAAATATGTGAGACGAAACTTGGTCATCTTTGCCTCTAAGAAGCATTCTGGATGCACTTTTTCCAAGATCTATCTGTTTATGCTGCCAACACAAAGGCATCTAGTTAGAATTCACTAGTCGCTCCACAGGAGAAGAAAGGACAATCTCCTCCCATGCAATTCAATACCTCTGAACACCCACTGGAGAGTCAGCTATGGGTTGGTTCCAACTCAGCGGTACACAAGAACAATAAAAGTGAATCAAGAAATATATGTGAGCAAGAACATCTATGGCTCAAAAGACTAATGTAGCCCTTTACGAAAGTTGGTCCAATCCTTTGTAACATACAATTTTGTTTTGTTTTTTACAACTATGGGTATAAACACAATTGACCTTTTCTTTTTAGTAAGAGAATTGCTTAGAAGAGATCAGAATGCAATGCACCTATTCAGGAGAAATACTGTTCCTAAAGATCCAGTTACACCTAATACACACATGTATGGACTGGGTCTTGGCCAAATTATAGTGGGTATACTCCAAAGTTTAAATTCTCCAGAAGTAAAACTGAAGAATAAATAGCGCACTGGGCCAACAAATAAACTCACCTGGACTTCTTTTCACAGTAAGTGTTTTGGAGAAGAATATAGAATTATCCCGGCTATTTAAAAACTGGCAGGTCATTTACTTTTCTGCAAAATGGAAATCAAATCTTTTCTGAGTACAATGTACTATTACATGAGAGACTATGGAACCATCAATTCAAAGTACTTCAACAGCATTCTGCAAAGAACTATTAGTTCCATTAGCAGTTGAGGAATTCATACACATCTCGGTTCTTACCGATTCCCTTAGTTCCCAGAGTCCTCTGATCTGAGAGACTAGCTCTTTCCTTCATGCAAGCGCACACAAACCTGTGCTGTGTGTCAAGAACATGACAATTTAGAGGCCGCTGTCCTTTCTTTTCATCCATCATTGGTTACCTGTCCATCTACTTAAAATACAACCACTCTTTTAATCTTCTCTTTAAGAAAAATATTTGATAAATTCTTATGTTAAAAAAAGAGTTAAGATTGCTTACTCTCTCCTCAGAAACACTGACAGTCCAAAATTAAAAATGGCAAAATAGCAATCTTCCTTTTTATCCTTACAGAGCACTAATATTCACAGTTAATGCAACTGCTTTGGGCAAGTCAAAATTACATTAATTTTATAACCTATTTCAACATTTAATTCTACAAAGAAAAGAAACATGCACAAGGAAATGATGTGACGCCTTAAAATGTTTTCTTTATATGAAATGTACAGCAGACACACAAACCACAAGCAGTGCAAAGAAATAGGAGCCGGTGTGACACCGCCTGCCTATCTGCCTTCCACCACAAAGAGAAAACCCTTGCACATTTGCACACCGTGGTATTTCAGTTTGGGACGTCATAAAGATAGGATTTAGTCATGTTGTATAAATACAGGAAGGGGTGTGTGGGGTGTGTATGTGTGTGCACGCGCCCGTGTAAAGAGACTTGTGAGCATAGGGAAGCACTTGAGAAAAATTCTTCTTTCTTTCACATTCATTCTTTTTAGCTTCAGTGTCTGGCACAGTCCTTAGAAATACTCACTAGCTTTTCATTCTAAAGACAACCAGCAAGCTTTCTGAACTTCCTACAGTGTTTTTCAGGTACACTTTTTAAAAAAAAAAAACAACAAAAGAACCCAAAATACCCAGCACCAAATCTTTCACTTTGTGTTTTAAATAAAAAGGAGACCAATGCCTCATTTCTTCATGGCAAAGACCCCAGAGGTTGCCTTCTAAGTGGGATCCTTTGTTGTGTGTCAAAAAATAACACAGCATTGTATATAAATTGGAAAATACAGCTTAGTTCGTTTCTAAGAATACCAATGCTATTACCATAAATTTTGTGCTGCACCAGTGAGTCCAATTTCATGCTTTTTGCGAACCTAAACGACTTCCTAACAACATTAAAGCTAATGAAATCTACAGCCTCTCCCCTCTTCTCTCAGGACACTCCATTAACAAACATAAGCACAGAAAAGGACGCCCAGGGGGCCAGCTTCCTTTATGCACAATGGTGTCTGTCAAGAGCAGCATCTTCAACCAACAACGAAAGTTGTCTTCCTACCAGACGTCCACCCCAAACCTACCCACCTCTGCCCGTGTCCAGGACAAGAAGGGGCAGCTGAATAGAAACCTTTCGGCTCCCCCAGCTCCCCAGTAGGGCAAGTGGGGAGGGAATGACAAGAGAGTAGGAAGGTGGGCGAGTGGGAGACAGAAATGGATGCTGAGCGGGTGGGCGTGATGGGAAGGTAGGGAAGGTGGAGGACGCGGGGAGAGGTAGGGAAGGCAAGCGGCACGGGGAGAGCCCAAGGCGAGGAATGGAGATGGAGCGAGGGGATCAGCGAGGCTGGGGCACGGGGGTGGTCCGGGCCTCACCATTGAACGCCCCAGTGTCCGCGGCCTCCTCCTCCTCCCCGTTCTCGGAGTCGGCGTGCACGGGCTCCTCGGCGAAGTTGACTCCCTTGACCGGGGTGCCGCCCCCGGTGGCGGCGCCCGTGTCCCCCCAGGTCCTGCCCTCATGGCCGAAGCGCGCGGCGCCTTTGCGCTCGTTCTCCTGCTGCAGGCGCGTGAAGTGCTGCAGCGCGAACTCCAGCAGGTCCGCGGGCTGGTGCCTCAGCACCTCCACGGTGAAGCCCTGCAGCAGCTCCGTCAGCCCCGCCGGGATCTCGATGCTCATCCTGCCTCCGGGGCGGGGGGCGCCGGAGCGCCGAGTCCCCGGGCTGCCCTGCGCGGGCAGCCGCCGCCCTCGTCCCTCCCCGGGTCCGGCCGCGCGGCCA